TCGTTCGGCAAACTCGGAACGTCGAGTGAGAAGGCAACTTCGAGAATGCTCGTGAATGTTCGTAAATGTTCGCGATTGGCTTCGTCCCGATGCTACTGGAAGTAGATAACGAGCTGATCGTTAAGAGGGTAACGAACATTTGCTTTTTGGCTAGGTAACCCCAAACCCCCTACCGTTGTACAATCTATTTTCCAATTGTTTATAATCCATGTATGTTGTATGTTTTGAAAAACGTGTTTTTTTTAAGATTTTCATACTTTTCGTACGTTAGAAACGTACTCTTCTTTTCCCCTTTATTTTTTATGTTTTTCAAATGATCGATTAATGTTACTTCTTTTCTTTCTTAACAATTAGTTAATAATTTGTTTAATGTCAGTACACGTTCACAATTGTTTTTAATATGATTATTATTGGAACGATTAATTTTAATTATAATTATTGTATCGAACAGAATTAATTGATATTTTGAAACTAAGTTTTTTGATTACATGTAGTAAATTCATACGTAACATTGAGGTTAATAAATGTATTAATGTATCCGTATTTTAATTAATTTATAAATGCCCTATTATCGTCAAATAGTAAATGAATGAACGTTGTTAAGAGAATTAATTTTAATTATTAAATCAGATAGAATTAATTATTATTTTGAAACTAGTAACTGTTTACAATAAAATCGTATGTAATATTGAGATTAAAATATACGTATTAATGAGATAAACGATACTAAAGAGATTTTCATGTTCCATTTGCTTTTTAATTATTTACTCAAATATTATCAAGTAATATAAATAACGAGATAATCATTATATATTTGACTCTTTACAATCCTAACCTTTCTTTTTTGCAATTGTAAAATTTATATGATTCTCTTTTATATCATAACATTATATATAACTATATTATATCTTAATTATAAAATATACATTTTAAACGACCGCTCGAACTTTCGAACAATAATTAATATTAAAGGAACGAACAATTAATTCTTTATTACGAACGAACAAAATAAAAATAAAAAAAAAAAAAAAAAAAAAAAGAAAAAAAAACACATATACACACATAAATGAATGTAAAACTTGAAAGTTAGAATACCGTTATAAAGAGTTAAGTAATATCTCGTAGATATTTCGAACTATACGTTTTTCCAAGAAACTTTCTTCCTTCTCGTTCCAGAAATTACGAAAAAAAGTGGCAACATAACCTATCAGGTTACATATAACGACTGTTTTGGCTTGAAGAGACTCTCTCAGCTCGCTCAGGTGTGTTTTACTTGTTCTAAGAATTAACAATGTTTTATTTTAAGCGACGAAGAGAAAGAATAAAGTCGAAACACTGTGTAACGAAATACGTCAACAAATTTTTCTATTTCAAAATTTATTTAAAACGAACAAACATAATTGACAAAAACGAATTAATTGTTATTAATTGATCAAATTAATTAAATTATATTTATTTAGTAAAAATGCATTATATATAATAAAATAAAATAATAACAATAATAATTTATAATGTACGTAATAGTTATATATATTTTAATGTAATATAATATAGTGCAAGTTTAATAGAATATATAACAGTTATGAATAAATATATTTATAAATATATCTTAGATATATTTTCTAATTTCTATCTTTTATTATTATATTTTTAATCGAAATAAATTTCATACGTAATCGTATTCATCGTTCGAAAACTAATCTAATTTTTCAATCAATAAGTTATGATTTAGATGTACATATATATATATAGATTCTTTCAGCTATGATTCAATCATAAATTTTCTAATTATATAAACATTAATTACGTACATATATTGGCAAACAAAATTGAACAAAATTAATTATTACAAAATTTTTATTCAAAATTTTACATCGTAAATATAATATCAATATAAAAGTTATTAATGGTAATAAACTAAAAAAATAATTCTCATATAAATCATTATCATTATCTTTTGTTTTGATAAAAAAAAAAGAAAACACAATAAATTATATAATATATATATATAATTTTGTTTAAAAACTAACCTAACTTATCGATCAGCAGATTAAAATATATATACATATATATATATATATATTGTATATTCTTACAACCATAATTTAATCATAAGTTCCTAATACGTTAATGCATTAATTACATAAATAAATTTTAATATATATTAAACGTATAAATATTAATAAAATTCGTATTAAAAATTTCGTATCGTACATATCAATCAATCAACGTAATAGCCAGCAGAGCCGTATTTACAAATAGAAAATAACTAATAATCGATATTCTTGATGAACGAAAGTTTTTAGAAAAAAAATTTAAAGAAAAAAAAAAAAAAAGAGAGAGAGAGAGAGAGAGAGAGAGAGAGAGAGAGAAGAAAAAAAAGAAAGAAAAAGAAAAATAATTCTTTAAATCGTTATCATTGTTCTTCATCTTGTCAAAAATAAAAGATGAAATTACGTGTACATAAAATATATAGATATAAAGTTGTTCGAAAACTAACCTAACTTGTCGATATTCCGTTGCTATTCCTTCCTCTTCTTCTTCTTCTTCTTTTTCTTATTCCTCTTCCTGTTTCTCGTCCAGACAAGCCAAAGAGGAAGCTCGACGTATTCGATTACCTTACGTCTAACGTTAGTAATCGATCGATAGATCTAAAATCGACGTTTTACGTAGGCAGAAGCACTTGAACTCAAAACACTTATATCGTAAAAGCCACTCGTAATGGTTAAAAAAGAAAACCACGATTTACAAGCATACAAGATCACTTTACAAATACACATAAACATATATATACATATATATATATATATATACACACATATATATATATATATACACACGTATTCTTAGAAAAGAATATTTTTTAATAACACATATACACGCACGTACACACACACGCGCGCGCGGACGCGGACATTATTATTGGAAATAGTGAATACGTATTAAAATATATCTAAAAAACGGATGAAAAAAGAAAAAAAAGAGAGAGAGAGAGAAGGAAAAAAAGAGATATAAAACAAAAGTAGAATAGAAATCATACGTTAATACGAAAATACGCTTTGCCAGGATTTATGTGTACTGAAAGATTGACTCGCCTCAGTCACAGAAACGACAAAATTTATACTCGAATGAAATCCACGTTTATACATCTGGTATTGTTTTCTTTTCTTTCTTTCTTTCTTTTTCTTTTTTTTTTTTTTTTTTTACTATTTATTTTTCCTTTTCTGTTTTTTTATCTTTTTCTTCTTTTTTTTTCTTTTATCTTCTTATCAAGATATCGTTGCTTAACCTTCGCCGTTTCACACGAAAAATTTACGACGAGTACGAATAAATTCGATTCGATGCAATCGATTTTGCATTGGGTTTTACTTTTATGTATATATATATGTATATATATATATGTATATATATATATATGTATATATATATATGTATATATCTATAGTTTTTTTTTTGTTTAAACGTAGACGAATCTCGTCGGTGAAGTCGCTCGATACGAGGACGAACGAGAAAAAACGAACATCGATCCGTTCGATCGCACCGCCGCGGTCGGACTAACCGCGTGGATCGTGATCGAGATCGAGCGAGCCGCTAACAGTGCCGTATTGTTTGGGTCCTTAACCTTGTATTTATTATTTATCGTAGTACCAATACAATTTCAAATACAATCGTCTGATGGATGTTTTTATTATTTCTATATACCTCGTTATATTTTTCTTTTTCCATGAATTTTTTTATTCCGTCGTTATAATCGATTATATTTATTTCGATTATGATATTATATCGATATGATACGATAATGATAATATGATATTATATCGATTATGATATTATCAATGAAGTAATATTAAAAAAAAAGAAGAAAAAACAAATATCATAATTTATTATTACATATTTTATTATTCTATCATTCTCTTTTTATAATTTATATTTTCACTATAGTTAATTATAGCAATTTATAGTGACTAAATTTATTAATTTAACTATATAAGTTTATAGTAATAATTAATATTACTCTAATATTATGATTATTTAATTTATAGTAATAATTAATTGTTAACAATTTGTATTTATTTATTATCAACATAATATTACTGTTATCATAATTGTAATTATTATTATCATATTATTATCATTATGCTATTATTACTATTGTTTTATAATTAACATTTCACTGTTATTATTATTATTATTATTATTATTATTATTATTATTATTATTATTATTATTATATTATACATTTATTATTAATATTATCATTATTATTCTATCATCACCATCATCATCATTCTGTTATTTATTATAATTTTATTATCATAATTAACATTCTATCATTATTATAATATCTATATCATTATATCAATATCTTATTATACGATTATACAGGTCTATCCTCTTATAACACGGTTAATGCATATCGTGTTATATCGAAACAGTATTTTCAGATTACAATATTATAGGAGAGTTGTCAATGTGTGCGTATACGTCTATACCATACAATAATGTATGGTATAGATATTATAGTCTAACAAAAAAAAAATATATATACATATATATACACACACACGCATATATGCATACATACATAATAAAAATCAACTGTTCTCGATATAAACTCATTTTGTAAATTCATTTTTTTTTTATATATTTATTTATAATAATCGACTTATTATAAATAAATAAACCCTATAACCGTATTTATATATAATATATCTCATAAATTTAATAACACTCTATATTTTTTTGATCTATTCGAAATTCATCGCATAATAATAATAATAATAATAATAATAATAATAATAATAATAATAATAATAATAATAATAATAATAATAATAATCGTTCGAATTCCTGTATTGGACGTATCATGATTGGTTAAGCGAACGTGAAATAATGGTGTGAAAAGATCAGAGAAGGTTTCGTTCGGGGTAGTTAGGAAATGGCTCGTATCGTCGCGACAAGGTAGTTTAATCGATTTTCCTGGAAATCCTGTCGTAATTTTCTTCTTGAAAACCTAATAGACGCCTTTCGATAACGCCAAACGTGAAAGTCTAACATAAAGAAGAAGAAAAAGAAGAAGAAGAGGAAAGAGAGAGATAGAGAGAGAGAGAGAGAGAGAGAGAGAGAGAGAGAAAACGAGAAGATATAATACAATGTAAATAAAATAAAAAAGGAAAAATCAAATATTCATCTCGTATTAAAACAATGAATTAATTTTCCATCAAGATTTAACGTGATCTTTTTAACATGATCGTTTATTTTGTAATTAAAAAAAAAAAAAAAGAAAAACAGAAAAATTGATAAAAAAAAAAAAATAAGGCAACTGAATAAGGGAATTTTAAACCTTGTATATATTTATTTTTTATTTCATAAAAATTAGAGTGTAACGTTTTTTTTTTAAGACAAAACCTTCTGCAAAAAAATGTTCCTTTTTGTTATGCGAAAGAAAAATTAAAGAAGAAAAAAGAAAGAAAGAATTTCGAACGAATAAATAAATAAATAAATAAATAAATATTAAACTAATTATATATACATATATATTTTTATAAAAATTATAATCTAAAAAATATAACAAGATTCATATTTACAACGTTACATCTCTCTTCCCACGAATGAATACAAATGAAAAATTGTCTTTCTTGAAATTTATCATACGTCTCATATTGATTTCGTACTATTTGTCACACTTTTTATGGATATACGATATAAAGGTATAAATATTGAAAGAAAATTTTTTATCCTTTTAATTAAAATCAAAAAATCGAAACAATGACGATTACATCGATTTCAATTGTTTCGAGTTAACCATATAAACTATAGTTGCTCATATGCTCCTGATCCAGGTCTCTTTCGCAAACGAAAAGGTCGAGTTCGGTGTGTAAGGCTCGATAGGACGAGCTCCGCCAACGCGAAGGCGAGTCACGTTCGAATGATAAATATCGTAGGGTATCCATGATCCGATGGACGATGGCCCATGGGTGGCACGCAGGTCCGTACCAATTCACGTTCCCGTGCCATGTGATTTTAATATCATTTTCATTGTACCAAGTTTAAGTATTTAATTCAGTTTAATGTACACGTATGTACGCTCATTCAAATATATATTTCACGAATTTCGTTCATCCATTCAACATCTTCAAAATTTATTAAACAAATTTACTTTTCCTTTCAAATTAATTCCCTGATACAAATATAAAGCTTGTTGTTTAATTGAAATTACTAAAAAAAGGAAAAAAAAAAAATAGAAAGAAAGAACAAAGAAAGAAGAAAAAATTAATTAAACGATATATTGTTAACAATGATAGGGGTTAGATGGGGAATGTGCGGGGGAGGAGGGGGAGGGACCATAAAGAAAAGAAAAACAAATTTACAAACAACCGTAAGCACGTGTAATCGATAAGACAAAAAAAAATCAACTTATCTCAAATTTCGTACGAGCGAAATTTTCTTTTTCTTCTTTTTCTTTTTTTTCTCTCTCTCTCTCTCTCTCTTGTTTTATAATCCACAAAATAGAAAAAATCTAACGTTGATGATATTAAACGATTAAGTTTCAATAAGTACGAAGAAAAATTTCTTCTTTTTCCATAGAAAATCACGTGACATTATTCAAAGATTATCCTAAAAAAAAAAAAAAAAAAAAAAAAAAAGAAAAAGAAAACGAAAAGGAAAAAGAAAATAGAGAAAAGTAAACCCACGTACTAAACTTGATAATAAATAATTTTCAATCGAAATAATATCAGTCATCATAAAGATAAAATAACAAGAAAAAAAAAAAAATAAAAAAAAGACGAGAACGCCTATTAAAGAGATTAATTAAAGCCCTGCCCTACTACCCCCAAAAAAAAGAAGAAAATAAAACAAAACAACGATATAAATTAACGAAAAGTAATAAGATAGAGAGGAAAAAAATAAAGAAAAAGAAGAAGAAGAAAAAAAAAAGAAAAAGAAAAGAAATTCCTAAAACATCAATAGTATTTTCCTCTTCTTTATGATTTCTCAAAAGTTTCTACGTCATTGTGCAGTATCGTATCGGGTGAAGCACGTGCCACGTATCGGAGAGATACACACGCATACGCATATTTTACATATACCCACACACACACACACACACACACACACACACACGCACATATATATTGATTTCACTTCTGAATTCTTGGATTTTTGTCGTATGGACCAGTACAGAATCGTTTAGTAAAGTCGAGCGTCTGCCGGGTGCAACGTTTTTCTCTCTCTCTCTCTCTCTCTCTCTCTCTCTCTCTCTTTCTCTCTTTCTCTCTTTCACTCTTTTTCTCTCAGTACACTCATACACATGCATACGCACATACACACATACACACACACACATACAAATATATACGAACACATACAATTTTATATATATATATACGTTCTGCGTCTCTTTCTCTCTTTCGTGGTAACGGTATCGCGCATCTGGTGTCGAACCAAGCACGGTGTTTGCCCGTATACAATGGTGATTACGGAAACAAAAGGGCGAAGACCGTGAATACCCCTTGTGGTAACCCCACACTGCTGTGTTTCGTCTCAGACTCTCTCTCTTTTCTCTTCTCTTCTTATTCTTTCACTCTCTCTCTCTCTCTCTCTCTCTGTCTCTCTCTCTTTCTCTCTCTTTCTCTCTCTTTCTCTTTTAACTTCTCTACAGGCTGCTCCATAAAATGGAGACGAGTTGTCTCCATTTCCTTTCTTTTTCTTTTTTTTTTTCTTCAATTTTTTTTTTATTTAAAATTTTGTTAATCCCTCTATAATCTCGTCTGCAACAACTTTCAAGCCACTTACTCAAATGTATATATACATTTATATGTATGTATGTATATATATATGTATGTATGTATGTATGTATGTATATGTATTTACATTTTTTACATCTCGTTTCATTTTATCACTATAAAATTATTTTTGTTAGCTCATATGATGAACTTTTAATATTTTTCCTTTTTTCTTTCCTTTTGTTAAATTTAAACCACATATTTTTATTAATAATGAATTTTTCTAAACGATACTTTTCGATAGATTTAATATTTTTATCATTTAATTCGTCATATTATGTTTTATAATTAATACGAGATATTTATTCGATCGATTGATTTGTTTGCACGCGTGCAGATATGTATTATTTAATCTAATTTAATATTTAATTAATGTTATTTAATTTGCTAAATGATAATAGTCTAAAAATGATAAAGATTAATAATTATGATTTGGTGATACGATAGAAAGGAAAAAAAAAGGAACCAAATGATAAAATTAAAAATAAATGAAATATTAAAATGAAATATAAAATTATAAATAAATGAAAATTATGTTCTTCGAAAAAATTCAACGAACGATAGAATTGAAGTTTGAGAACCACTGTTTTCACAATAAATATAAGAAATTCGTACGATTTTATCGACCGAGTGAATATAACCATCCAATCTGAGTTAGATCCTAATTTCATTTTATTTGTCAAATGATATATATATATATATATATATATATATATATATATATATATATATATATACATATTTTGAGAACCATGTTACCGGGAACAAAAGTATAATAAAAGAATAAATATTATTATTTTTTTTGAATGAGAGAGGGAAAGTAGAAGAAGAAGAAAAAGGAAAAAAATATCAGAAAACTGAGAGAAAAATGTAGAAATGTCCATGTGAGTTAACTTTTCACTATGATATTATGCCAAAACGAAAGTTATAACGAACCTTTCCAATTGGTCCTTTTTCTTTTAACGTGCCGTTACATATGTATACATTGAAAAAATTTTTAATTGCTCTGTCCCATAAAGTTAATTTCTTCGCAACAATGCTCGTATAAGAGAAAATGCCACAACGTTGATAATATCAACGATAGTAGTACTCTTTAAATATGTTTATGCTAAAAGAAAAAGAAAAGAAAGAAAAAAGGAAAAACAAAGAAAGTAAAATGAAAAAAGAAAAATAAAGAAGAACAAAAAAATATATATATATATATATTCCCACTGTGCGACCCAATTACCGGAGAATGTTTTGCCGACAGTGTAGCAAATTAAGGTTAAACCAGTTTTAAATTAGTACCATCGTTCTTTACTTGCTTGGGCGTTATCTAAACTTAATCAAAAAAATGGAACAAAAAAATGTGATTTAGAGGGTCAGCAAATAGTTCTTTACTGTGGGTTCGATTTTATATATATATATATATATATATATATATATATATATATACGCACACACACATATGTACAGAAGGAGAGAAAGAGAGAGAGAGAGAGAGAGAGAAAGGATGTCCTAAAAAATATGAAAGATATATAATAGAATTTGTTAACGAAAAATAAAAAAAAAATATAGTGATTATATCAACTAATATACATGTACTTTCTAACTTAAAATAAATAACAATTTTCTTAATACAGACAAAAATATAAAAAAGATATTTGTACGAAATTCTATCCACAACAATAATCATTATAAACTAATTATTATAATATTAACTGTATTATAATAATCGTTATAAGCTAATTATTATGATAGTATCTATATTATAATAATCATTATAAGCTAATTATTATAATGGCGATTGTTAAAGAGAAAGGAAAAAAAAAGAAAATAAAAAAAAAATAAAAAAAAGAAAAAAAAGAAAAAGAAGCAAACGGGAGTTACGTCAATGAAATAAATATGTAAGCAGATTTTAACTTTGAACAGTTATAAATAATTTTTTTTGCAACAATGCCAATAATGATAATAAGATTTTTATAAGAAACTATACGGCTTACCCATTAATTATTATAAGCTACTTATTATGACAATGGTTGCATTAAAAAAAAAAAAAAAAACAAAAAAAAAAAAAGAAAAAAACCATTATAAAAATCCATGTCGTCGACAGATATTTCCATATATAACATTCCAACTATGAAGAGAAGAGTAACAAATTTTTTTATTAATAAGATAAAAAGATATTTTTGTAAGCTTACTAAGAGGGAATTTCACATGTAACTGTAGGAACGTAGAATAAATAAAAAAAAGAAAGAAAGAAAGAAAGAAAGAAAGAAAGAAAGAAAGAAAGAAAGAAAGGAAGGAAGGAAGAAAGGGGAAAAAAAGAACGAACAAACAAACAGGGAAATAGGGAGGGGAGGTGGTGGGGGGAAAAAAAAAAGAAAGAAAAAGAAAGAAAAAATAAATGTTCTCGTTATGACAGGCTTTCAGTTTTTCTCTACATGCCTTCTAGCTCTCTGACATTTCCATCGTGCGAGAAGCGAAACGTTTATATGTTGGCTAGAGAAGAAAATTCTTTTCCGACATATATATGTATCCGGTTTATATATATATACGTGTGTGTGTGTGTGTGTGAGTGAGTGAGTGTGAATATGTGTGTATGATCTCCTTCTCTTTCTATCTTTCCCTGATGGTCAGTCCAAGTATAGGGTCGATCCCGAAGCAGCCCTCAGGCTACCAAATCACAATACCGAAGAGAAAGAAAAGAGTTTCCTTTCTCTGAGAACGTTACAGAGAAAGATAGAAAGAGAGAGAGAGAGAGAGAAAAAAAGAGAAGAGAAGAGAAGAGAGAGAGTAAGAGAAGTACATGTAAATCGTGCGAGTCTCACAGGTGCTTCATCATTACGTATGTATGTATATCTTCTGTATCATGGACGTCCAATAAAACTCGATCGTACTTTTCTATCACTATATCTTTATACCATATCTTTCATTTTCATTTTTCTTTTTTTCTTTTATCTGTTTATTCAATAATAAACAAAACACAGCTGCGAATTCGTTCCTTCTTTTTCTATCTTTCCATTTTCTTTTTTATCTATCTTTCCAATATTTTATTATTGTATTAGTTTTTTAAAATTTCACTTGACTTTCCTTAAATTTCTAAACTACTGTGATTTATTGTTTAATTATTAATGTTTTAGGAGATAAATTAAACAGATAGAGAGGTAGAGAGAAAGAGAGTGAGAGAGAAAGAGAGAGAGAGGGAGAGAGAGAGAGAGAGAAAGAGAGAGAGAGAGAGAAAGATATTAGTGTTAGTTATAACTATATTTATGTTATGTGGTTAAGACACTGTAAAGTAGTTTTATGCTAACTTTAATTATGTTATACTATACTGAAACGTAGTTATATACATTACCTTTAACTAACATAAGTTATAACTACATTACAGTGATTTAATTATATTATATAAACTGACCATATGAGATATATTTATTATTTAATTATATTATGTTATATAAACATTATATATGATATAAATTATATAGTATATATATATACATATATATATATATATGTATGTATAAATAATCAAATTAAAATTCATTAAATTACAATTGATTTGTCTTCTTTAAGAAAATTATGAATCATTAACTTTTCTTTAACATCGCATAAAATAATTTATATATATATATATATATATATATATATATATATATATATATATATATAAAATAAAATAAAATAAAATAGAAAAAAAAGAAAAAGTTACAAACGCGCCTGTTCTCTCGTCTTTACGTGTATCTTCTCTTTGATCCTAATTAATTGTACTTGAATCTCCGTTGAGAGATCTCTAAAGCTATGCAGCACGATCTTCTTACACTTCTTACAGGTGAACACGACACTCGAGAAATACTCGCTCGCCGCATGAATATTTACGTGAGTCGTGCATAAATAGCCGTGGAAAAAAATGGGTTAAACGGGACACACCAGCCCCCTTCGTCCAGGGAGAGAAGAAAGAGAGAGAGGGAGAGAGAGACATAGAGAGGGAGAGGGAGAGGGAGAGAGAGAGAGAGAGCGTGGACGACGCTCTACGAAAACCGGCCACAAATTTTCTGCGTCTCTTACGGCACATCCGCATTGCGCATAACTATCTTCCTCTCTCTCTCTCTCTCTCTCTCTTTTTCTCTCTTTCTCTCTGTCTCTCTTTATCTTTCTCTCTCTCTTTCATTCATTCTTTCTTTCTTTCTTTCTTCCTTTATTCGTCGTTGACCTACGTACGTTACTATATATAAATATATATATATATATATATATATATATATTATATGTACGTATATATGTACAACCAGATTGCACTTTTTTTTGATAACGTTCATAATTTACAAATGTCACTTGCAGAATACGAACGAGATCTTCTCGATATGTGACTGTAGTTTTAACTGTGAAACTGAAAATTTATTACTTTATATTGTATTTTCTTTTAACTTATGAGTTATATGTATTTTATGTAAAATAAATTTTCATATATAGACACTTGATAAATTTAATTATCTCTTGTTGTAATAATAATAAATGTTATTACTGTTGAAAAATTAAATTCGAAAGATCTAATACATATAATACATATAATAATAACTAATACATACATATATATATATATACTAATACATATATTCATATATATATATATATATATATATATATATATATACTAATACATATATTCATATATATATATATATATATATATATATATGAATCATATTTTGGTGATCTATAATTTAATATATATTATTGTTAATCAAAATCATAAAAATCTAATTTACATATATTATATTTCAATGTATTCTCAAATTACCCCAATTTCATTTGTATAAGATAAGATTGATTTAACAAATATATTATAATATGTATATGGATTATATTAAAAATTATTTTATAATAATAATAATAATAACGTATACAAATAAATTTGTAAAACATTTAAATATTCCGAATGAATTACCGTGTTACTATATGGACAAACAAAATTCGGTTTAACTCCGGTTACGAGAAGATTTCGTCGTGCATTTTCTTCGTTCGTTCGTTATTAAGAGAGGCAGAAACTTTGTAGTTCTCTCTCTCTCTCTCTCTCTCTCTCTCTGAGCTCGTTTCGAAAATTCAGAAGGAAAACGCTACCTCCGAGAGATATGCAACTTTTTCTAACGAGTATCGAAGCAAACTTTCGATGTTAAACTTTATAAGTGTTTTATGCTTTGCTTATAGTCTATATACATTTCTTTAATAAAGATGAAATCTTCTAAGATGAGAGTGAACGGTGCGGGAAAGGAGGGAGGAAGAACGGACGGGTTAAAGAGGATGTAGCCCCCGCTGAGAGGGGTAAGAAAGGGCAGGGGGGAGTGTAGTGGCAGGAATGGAGGTGGGAAGAAGATCTTCATCGATCAAGAATTGTATCTCCTTATCTTGTCGATCGATCATCGTTAACAGTAATTCATTTGGTTGTATCAAGTCACTATAGTGATCACAATAATGATTCATCGATCGATTGGTATAGATCTTAATCATTTCTATTTCTATCTCTTCCTTCCATGCAGCAACGATATCTCTGAATAAAAAAGGAAAGATGTATGTAATAATTTTCATATGATAATAATCGATTTATATAGGATATATTGTTATTGATCATGCCTATTGTAATATATACTAGTTTTAATGTTAGTCTTATATATGTGTAATTATAATTATGTATATATTGTGATATATTATTATTATTATTTTAATTATAATATTTATATTCTCTGTAATATGTAAATTAATTATAATGTGATCGTAATAACACATATGTATAATACTTATTATAGTAATAATTATGTTATATGCAATATATATATATATATATTATTTTTATATTAAATTTACACACATACATACGCGAAAGCGCGAGCACACACACACACACACGTATAAATATCATGAAATAAAATTTGTAAAATAATGAAAGACATACTTTGTATCTATTATATTCTTGTAAAGATTCTTGAGATTTCTTTAGCTCGTTCATGACATAATTCGTATCATCCGCTTCCATTTTAGAATTTTTGCTGTCGCCGTACGTGCACACGGTTACTAGGTTCTCATACTCGTCTTTGTCGCTTGTCAGGCATGTCTAAACATTAACGTATCATTAAGGTACTTTTCTTTGTATTAAAAGAAAATAAGAATACTTTACTTTGGACTCGTCCGTACAATAACTTTCATTTTCATTACTAATGAATTTCTTTATATGGTGCCAACTAATTGCAATTGGATAAACTAAGAAGAATATAACATTTAAGAGAAACTCTGTTTTTCTGAAAAATAAAAAGAAACCAAAAGAATAATAAATTATTATTATTATTATTATTATTATTATTATTATTATTATTATTATTATTATTATTATTATTATTATAAGAAAAAAATAGAAAATAATCATTATATACGTACACAGAATGAATTATTTTCAATCTTGTCAGTTGATATAACATTTAAAATATTTCGAATAAAATAATTCTTATTATATGATTACTGCTATAAAAATATATTTTTTTTTAAATTATTGTGATTATGTAAAATAAAAAAATAAAAAAAGTAAATAAACAAAATAAAAAAGAAAAACATAATTTGCATAGGAATATATCGCATAGGAAAAAAAAAAAAAGAAAATTAAAGAGATTGAATAATTATTTTCAAAAAGACAAAATTTCTATTTTCAACTGGTAAAATTAATTATTGTGATAATTTTATTATTGCGATAAACCTGCTGCAAATCCTGATTGATCTATTTCCTGTATCTGGATGAACTGGAAAACCTGATTCATCAGTAACGATACATCTGCATTTTAAATCATCTTCAAAATACTCGCTCATCTTGGTTGTTTTAAGCAAAGTATCCAATCCCCAACGACTAACTTCAGGAATATAGATTCCTATGATCCACTTTGATACACCTATAACATTCCTTTATTCTTTTTTATAATTTCACGTTAAACGTTCATTATTTTATTCTAATAGAACTGCGTATACTTTGAATAGATTTATAAATTATTTCTTTTTTCTTTTTTTTCGTTTTTTAAAATTATTTCAATTATTCATAACAATCTTAATTAATTATGATATTATCATATAAAAAAACAACAGTTCTATTATAAACTTAATGTAACGAATATAAATATATAAAAAAAACTATATATATATATATTATTATATTGTGAATATGAATAAATAAAAGTGTATATACGTATAAAAAAAT